AGGACGTTTTTTAAAGCCAAAAATTTACAAAATGAGCTTTTAATTTGTGTATTTAGATAAAGATATCGTTAGTTGGGCATGTTTTCTGAAGAATATGTTCCGTTCAGGCCATTCTGACGGCATGAAGCAAACCCTTTAAGTCATGTTGGATATATATATATATTAGATAAAATATTATGGAATTAGAAATGGGGACGTTTTATATTGGACACAGGCTGGGGGTACAAACTGCCAGTAAAAAAACAATCATACAACCGGTGGTGAGTTTACAAGGAATGAAACAACCATATCAGAAGTAGGTAAGTGTTCTGGGATCAACAAAATATAGTCAAAACTGTTCAGTGTAGGATGTAAAATGTGGTCACTCAGTCATGTGACACATGAAGACAAAAGACCACACCTACAGTACTGAGAGGACACACACACCACTGACTTTGATGGAGATAGACAGAAGTACATGACTCTCTAAAATATATACTCCACAATTTATGTAAGTGTACAATGTATTTGTTTTAATTCATTAGAATCATTATTTTATTATACTTTAGAACATATATATATTATATTGTATTTTTATTTTTTATTTTTAGTGACCGGCTTTCGGCTTTCGGCTTTCGGCTTTCTGCTATCGGCTATCGGCTATTGACTATTTGCTATGAACAATTTGAATAAAGCTAACCGTGTGCAATAAGGAGTTTTATGTTTTTTTTATAACCAAAACAGTCAATAAATTTGGACAAAAAAAATCAAGATTACCAGAAGCAGTTCTCTTACATAACCATGGACTTGAAAACGTTAAAGAAGAAATGAAGTGACGCTAAAAGGGCTGTTACTGTGGGAGCAAAGGCCTTGGAACAAGCCATTGATGTTGGACTTGAGGTAAAGGATGCAGTGGAAAGACTAGAGAAAAGATATCTGGATTATTTGGAAGTAACAAACGAATACAGGGTGTTATGTGAAGAAACAGATGCAGATACTGAATTCACAGTTGTTGCTGAGATGGATCTTCATGAATACGATGAACAGGTGAAAAAAACGTATCTCAATACAATCCAAGTTTATAAGCAACATAGCAAACGAAATGTAACTCAAAATTCAGACTCACCCATTCAACTGAAAAAAAGGGAAATCCCTAAATTCTCAGGACAAAGAAGAGACTGGCCAGAATTCAAAAACATTTGGCAAAATATGGTTATTCTAGCCGTACAAAATAAAACAGCCTTGGCTGTGGATTTAAAAAACTCTTGTAAAAGTGGTCTAGCTTATGTAGAAATTTCCAACATTTCAGCAGGTTCAGAAAATGCTTATGATAAGATGTGGGAGGCTTTATGCCTACACTATGATAATGTCCCATTAGCAGTGTCTAATGCTTTAGAAGAGATAAGCCAGTTAAAACCAGTGTCATCTGAAGACAATTATCAAGAGCAAGTACAATTGATCAGAAAAATTGATTCCATATTTCAACAGCTAGAAATGTTAGATCAAGTACACATGGTTTCTTGTAAAGACGTGGCACGCATTGTTTCATTTTTTTCACCCTTACTCAGAAAAGATTGGGCAAAATTTCTCAATAAGTTGCCAGTCTCAGCACAATTACATCCATTAGGTCCACTTCAGGACTTCTTACAATCAAAGTTAGGGGTTCTCAAACAAATGGCAAATGATCAAGCATTATTAAAACCTGTCAAAACACAAAAACAAAGTCACAGTCACAATGTTAGAGCAAGTCAGAATGATAGTTGTTTTTTACACAATGGCAATTCTCATACTACTAGTCAGTGTAAGCTGTTTTTATCTCTTTCAGTGCCTGAAAGAAAAGAAAAACTCAGACAAGCAGGTAGATGCTTCAGGTGTTTTGCTTCCCACAGAAGAGCCAGCTGCAAAGAAAATAGTCCATGCTCTTACTGTAACAGACGTTCCCACCATACCCTGATGTGTTGGCAAGCACCCACTGTAGATAAAGGCTATAACACAGGTGACCCTTCTGTGGAGAGCAAACATGCTGAGAGCAATGTAGCCAAAAGTAATGGTAAGACACTCTATGCCATATATGATGTCCCAGTTTCTTCATCCAAAAACAAAGCTGTCGTTTTTTGTGATGATGGTGCTGATATACTTTCATTTCTCAAAATGGTGTGAAAAAGCTAAATGCAAAGAAATTGGGAAAATTTTCCATTCAAATGAATACATTAAACTCTACAGACACAATTTCTACTCATTTGTATGAAGTCACTCTCATTACTGTCAGTGGTAGAAAAGTGAAAGTTGAAGCCTTTTGTTTGCCTACACTCTCAAGCTCTGTTTCTCAGTTAAGTGANGATTGGGTTTGCTAAGGAAGAAGCAGCGCGTAATAATGGTCAGACTCAGATATATGCCTTCACAGTAATTGCTGTAATAACTTAAACATCACGAACAAATAATTTATCCCCCCCCCCCCATTTTTTTCCATAACAAATTTCATAAAATTAGTTTTGTTTTCTTTTTCCATAAAGGATGAGGTGCTGATAAGAGGGTAAAAGTGCTCACCTTTGTACATGAAAAATAAATTGTGAATCTGAATTTTTTTTAATTTTGAAATATCAAAAATTAATGCAAAATATGGATGAGAAGTGGAGTCTAAATACAGTTAGTATAATCTATTTCTATTCTCATTTCTAAGGATTAGTAAAGGTAAAATGTTTTTCAGATATCCAAATTTATATTAATTATGTTAACAGCAGGCATACATTGTGGTGGCCCCTACTTTATATAAAGACTCATGCTATAGAGACCCTTTGCACATAGGTTGGGCTTGACCCACCCCACTCCTAATGGGGATTTTAAAGTACATATTCTACAACTAAAACTTTTGTGTAAATGCCCTCTTTTACATCTATTTAGCATGAAAAGTAAAATAAAGTCTTTATCACACACATCCTAGTTTTGTTACATGTACTTGTGACTTAAACTTCAACACCAGGACTATTTGTAATAGCACTGTATTTTTTTAGGCCAAAATGCTATGAATGGCTTCTGATGTCAAGGACATCAGTGAAAACCTAATGGCTTGGTAAATAGTGAGAGACCAGTATAGCATCTGCTAGGTGTCCAGTTTGAAATCAGCATATGCAAAGATGCACCTGATTGAATCAGAGTCAAAATAAAGTCAAGGCACACATCTAGCCACCAGTACAGCCCATGGAGCCAGACCTCCAGTAGCAAAAATGAGAACCATCAGTGGCTGGTACTGTCAGTGTAAAGTAGGTTTCTAGACAGTTGGAAGTTGTGCATATATCACTTCAGTCCTGAGGTATATAGGGTTTGCCAAAAGGCAGTGAGACAATTGAAAATTAAGTTGTGGAGAAGGTTGTTTAGATGCCTCATATTTACCAACATCAAGTGTTGACAGAATTAATGAGAACGAAAGTGTTTTGGACAGCACATCCGATTGATTTTCTAATATTTCTTATACATTTTTTTATTCTCTTATTTGTGTATTTTGTATAATGTAACTATTGCAGTGTGTTCTTTACAAGGTCAATATCATATATACTCATATGAAGTACTTTTTTTGATGAATTAATTTCAGTCATACAGATTATTAGCTTTAACTGCTACGATGTATACATACACGTTTCCATTCAGTTTTTACTTTTACCTTATCATTATTTTCGGAGAACTGATACCTTATTCATTTAATGGTTATTGGAAACATTCCATATAGCTATTTAGAAAGCTTTTACAAATGATTTTTTTTTTTGTTACTGTAACATCCTTTTGCTTTCAGCATTTATTCTTCTTCTTTATAGAGCCTTTTACAAAATGTATATTGGTTATCAATACAATTATTTAGACCAACAAATGCTGGTCTAGGAGAAAAGTTACATAAAATGAATAAATATGCTAAAACAAGTTGTCTTAGTCACAAGACTTTTATTTTATTTATTCTCACCTTACAGTAATAAGTCATGTACATTTAAAATAAGTGACAATGTAGTAGGTCCCTGGGATCCCAGTAAGTGGATGATTATCATTTTTTTCATTAAATCAATACACTTTAGTAGCATGCACTAAATCAAATGTTCTAATAAAATAAATAAAAAGTTTTTATTTCAGTCTCAGTTTGCATCGAAAACTATTTTAAAAACTTTATCAGATTTCAGTACTATCATATAAATATATGTAAATTGCATTATGTTATGGGTTGAGAAAACTTTAAACCAGTAATACAGATGCAATTTTCAGCTAACCTTGTACAGAAATGCACATTGGGCATGTAAACTGGGTTTTACGAAGTGTTTTTTTAGAACATTTGACTTCAGCACAAATGATATGTAGCCAACTTTGGCAAGTGCTACACTGTATCCATCAATGGTATCCTTTATTTTGGCAGAATGCTATGTTGCAGGCTTCATCCTCTGACTTTCTTCCACTCTTTCTAATTTTCTGTCTAACATATTCCCTAAACCACTCGCAGTGTGTGCTGTCGATACTGTTCAGTCCAGCTCCTTGAAGGATATCTTCTGCATTCTGTAAATAAGAGTGAAAAGTGTAAGACAGTTAAAAATTCCTTTATTCCTGAAAAAGCTTTTTCAAAGCTTGTAGTTTCTGTTAATTTAACCAGTTATTAAGTAAATAAAGCTACTATTTCCAGGGATACATAAAAAAAAAAAAATTATACTCTGATAACTTGGTAAATGCTACAAGACAAGCTACCAAATGTACAGACTAAATAGGTAACAGAAAAATCAAACTAGTCATCTACAATACAATGTAAAGGAAATGTTTGTTTAATTTTATCTCATATGTTATACAAGAAGAGACATTTTCAATCTTTGTTCTGTGAGGGATGCCATGTCTATACATAAGAGAAGTATATTACAAAATATGCACCTGTACTTGTACGACTAAGGTTCAAGTACAAATGCTATTAAACCACTTTGAAACATTATGAACAGCTTCATATTTTGGAGGTAACCAGATGCAACAATTTAAAGTTTTAATGTTACCAACATTTGTGCAGATGCTCTAATGAACTTTTGACATTACATGACATACATATTGATTAATGATACATTTAATCAATTTACTCTATGTAGCACACTGGTGAAGATCAATGCATTGAATAAACACTGACTGAAAACTTGAATGATCCCTTGAAATCCCCAACCCTAATACAGTATATTCCTTTCTGAGAGAGAAAACAAATTTCTGATAACTTCAAAGCAATAGATACTATACCTATTATATGAGATCCATCCCAACTAATTCCAGAGGCTCACTGACTGGCTCACTGGCTTAAGCTCTGGGCTCTGAGTCTTTATCTTACTTTGTCTTTGGTATGCATCACACGCTTCAATCTGCAGCAGAAAGATTTTTCTGACATATATCAATTGTGATCCGTCCTGTTATTTTGCAAAAATAATAAAACTACAAGTACACTGAATCTCCTAAACTACTACAAATTAGTTACTGATGCTACATGGGCACTATCTGAATAGTTTACAAACACACTGTCTCTGGAGTGAACATAATAAGAAAATGAGAGAACAGTTTCATTATCTCTGTATGTATTAATTAAAATTATTGTTATTCTTTTTATCAAGAGCTTATAAAATATGTTGGTATTACCTCCAATATTTCTGTGACTGTCAATCACCATCATCAGGGAGTAAAAATATAAGAAAACTCTTTAAAGCAAAAAGCTAATGTTTGAATTTCCATGTGTATTAAGTATAATAAGTTAATATGGCTTATTCTGATCAGAATAGTATCTGATAATACATACATATTAAGAAATGTACCTGAAGATCTTTATATAGAAGAGCTTAAAACAAAGTGTACCTGTTTTGCTCAGACATACTTACATATTCTTTTACATCCTGTGTCATCTTGTACCAGACATATCCTCTACATCCTAAATAACTCTATGTCTGATGCCTGATGTGTCACCTTTGCCAACATAATAAAGGTCTCCTGAAGAGAAAAAAGTTACTTGTATGCATTCCCGTACATCAAATACACGGAATTTAGAACGTATATTCATTGTTTACTACAAAATATAAAGAATCCTGCAAAGGGATAGAAGCCATTCAACCATCTATCTTGGATAATAATGGTTTACCAGAGAGAGTGATATCTAGATATTGTGCCACACATGATGATGCACTGTAAGGGTGAGCAGATATGCCAAACTACAACTACTGACCTTCATCATCTAAAACATGAGTCTGTGCACTTTCTCTTATTTTCCTTAATTCTTTAGGGTCTTCCAAAAAGTCTCTCGGTCTCCCGTACTGAATGTACCGCTTCACTTCCCTCATAAATGTAATAAAGTCGTCATTTTTTGTAGCCATGCTGGAAAATGTATAAAGTCACAAATAAAAACATTGCTCATTATGCCTTCTGCAGAAAAAGAGGGACCATAACTTCCATCTAATTAGGTTTTAAATTTGAATGTTCACCAATAGTGTGGCTCCTAGTTTATACTCATATGATAACAAATTTACATCCAAATATTTCAATTTACAACAATAACGAAGTTGCTACACAAACATGCACAGTCTGAGGAACATCAAAATAAATACTGCACCCTGAAGACATTTTCCCTCTCTGAAAGCTGCTGGGCAATATGAGGAGTTTTTTCTTCCTTTTTAAAGCCATCATGCTTAAAGTGTCAGTCATCTTGGTTAGGCTGGTTAAAAAGTAAGTGAAAGTTATCAGATAATAATGCTGCAATAAGACAGTTTAAGAACAATCAACTGTAACTGGTGATGTAATCTCCTGATAAGATATAAACTTATGCTGTACCTGAGAGTTGTCATTTCATTGTTCTCATAATGTCAGACCAAAACTGACAGGTGATTAGCTCTGAGCTAGCTTAACCAAAATGACATTTTAACTGAGTCAAAGTGACACAAACATATATACCTTTAATCAAATCAATTCTTCAAGATATTCAAACTGAAAACAGTCCACCTGTGATAAAAAAACTCACTTGATTTCAGACATACAGATGGTTAAGACCATATAATCAAGTTCAAAAATCTAACAGGTGACCTACTGTAATATTCTTGTTTCAGTGCTTTAGAAAAAGAATAAGGTAAATAAAAATCAAATTTTTTTAACTTAATGATTATCTTGGTAAGGACCATAGATACAAGCCTGCAAGCTGAAAGGTAATTAGGAAATTACCTAATAACAAAGTTGGAGACAAACCCTTCTTCCTATTATGAGACTATTTCTGTTTGACTTTCTTTACAAGAAAACCAACAACTCTCCATACACGTACGTATATTTTGTACTTACTACATAGTTAAATTTGGAATATATCTAATTATATGATTAATTTAAAGAAGGTCTCTCTCTCTCTCTCTCTCTCTCTGCATAAGAACGATTTAAAAATACATAATTTTCATCAGAGATTTGCCAATTTTCAATGAAATATTAGGTATATATATGTTTGTTCTTTATTACAAGCCCAAAAAGTGAATTTTATCTACTAAATACAATTGAAGAAATAAGCATATGTTGAATACTCCTTCCCACACAGTTAACAATGGCTATGAAAGAAACCTAGGCTGTGCACTATAGTAAGAATCAAATCAAAACATTAGTTAAACAATCAAATGTCTACATGTATTATAGTGTGCAACATTGTATATTCAGCAACGAAATTCCAAACATTTCAGACAGAGAGGACTTGCCTAAGTTATAATAACTTTAAATCAATAATAGACATACAGAATTGTCATTCACCAAATTTAAAGGCAATTCTCAGCATCAGTGTGCAGAAAATGTTTATTTCTACTGCAACTGTGTGTATCTTTACTGAACATCTGTCCAGGTAATTCAAGTGATTTTGTTAATACACCGAAGAGTGTAGACACATTTCGACACATTTTTGATTTTGTCATTATGAAATTGGTGGGCACTACAGTACTCTGAGTAGTACCGAGGAGTTATATAACTCCTTGGTAGTACGTACATTATGCTTACTAGTAGTAGTAACTCTACCTGCTGTGTAAGGTTACAAATTGACATGAACAAGTAAAACGTACGTTAGACTTACTTGCCAACTGGTAGATGATTTTTCCCCTTTTTTCTACTTTATTCTTTTGAAGTAGACCAAAAAATCGCCGATATCAGCCTTCCTCAGACCGTCCACTTTAAGTGATTTCCTCCTACATGCTGTGTTTTCCTGAAGTAAATGGCTCTTAAAAAAAAACATCGTACTCCATGTTTCTTATCATCTGTTAAATACTTCTACTTATCAAATCTTATATAAATCGAGCATAATGTTTTGATAAATCGATTGAGACGGACTGTGCACGCCGAAGTCTCTCAGATTTGCCTGCGCTTTGTGCGCATGTGCAGAACGGATGGTTCACGCTCCGAGCCCTACACGCCACACCGGTACCATTTATTGTGTCGCCATTTAGGATAATTTCACAGTCTGCATACAATACATTTTATTTCATGTTGGGTATAAATTGAAAGAAAACAAGCTTTGCTGCGTTTGCACCTACAGAGTTAATACTTAATATGGAACTTTTTTTATCACTGTTATTTTTCAGTGCTGATTAATATTTTTTTGGTTTTGTCAATCAGATCCAGTTATGTAGAAAATTTACTCGCCAAATTATATTCCATATAATTAACCCTGTATTCAGCGACTGGGTTAGGACAAACACTTCTACAAATATTGCAACTTTTACACTTAATGTCTACTAAGATTGTAAATGAAAAATCTTTCTATGAAAAATATACAAAACGCTACACCAAATAAATTGTGAAAAACAAACATTTCTACATACTTGTACAGTGCTCACTAATTAGTTGACACAATTATTGGTACTGGAAAGTAATGGGCAAGGTAAATGTGTCACATTATCATCAAAGAGTTGAGAATTCTATACCTCTTATATGATAACTGAGGTGCAACAGTTTAGGTAAAATGCTTTTGATCAACAAGGATGGCTTCACACGCTGCGACGCTGCTTACGTCACTCTATAGCCTACTTCCTCGCAGTGCCACAACACGGGCATGTCTTAAACTAGATTCACACCTGTATAAAATCTGTGTAAAAAATAATTTTTTCTTTTAATTGACCAAAACTGACTATTGGGCACATAAATAATAGTTTTAACACATTTTTTTTGCAAACTGTATTCCTGTGTAGGGAAAGCCTAATTTGGAGAAATGGTGTCGGGCATGAAGAATCCTTTTAAAGTCATGATCAGGTCTGCTGGTCATATCTGTCAGATCCATCTGCATCCTGCTGAGGAATCGTAGGGCTATGAATGGTTTGCTAGCTGGTGATTTCTTCAAAGGCTTTCTTGTAGAGCACTCAGGGTAGGTCTGAAGAAAGATGTTGATGACAGCACAAGGAACCCAAGCGTAGTTCCTCTTCACTTCATCGTATGTCTTATCACAACCAGAGTGTTGGACATTCTGATGACATCTTTTAACGATATCAAACATCTCTTCAGTTGTAGCAACTGGGGTAGAGGACTTGGCACAGTAGAGCAAGCACCTCTGCCCTATTATTTGTATCTTAAAGAGAGAACAACTGTTCATTTTGGCCAAAAAAGGATTACAGTGGGGTAAAAGACAATTTCCATATCCATTTCCGTATTCTAAATTAGTCCCTGTTTTGTTCCAAAAAAATTTTTTTTTTTTTTTTTTTTTTTTTTTTTTTTGTAATATTCTTTTAAGAGATTATTACAGAGTGTAGCCATCTTAGAGGTCATGTGATGTCAAGCACAATTTTGAGAATAATTGAATAAACTGCTGTTTTGGTGGTAAAATAATTTTTTTTTTATATTTCTATGAGTTGTTTACAATGTATTTATAGTGAAATATGGATATCTTACGAACAGTTGGTATCCCTTTAAAGTGCTTATTGCACCAGAATGTAAAAGCTGCCCCAAGCTCACTTGCATGTCACTGCAGCTCAGTGACAATTTTGTCATATAATTCTTGAGATATCAATTTTTTTTTTTTTTTTACTTTTAAGTTCTTAAGTGTTTCAAGATGTTGCAGATTTTAAACCCGCCTATAGCCCCTAACCTGATAGTGATACGGTTAAAGGCTTCTAGAAAAACTCTTTCCTTAAGAGATTCATAGGGCCAGACAATTTTCTCTGTGTACACAGATAATCAGTAAAACTATTTACAAGAGATGTTTTTAACCAGGAAATTTTGAGTAAGTTGCGCTCTAATTCGTTATAATTGTCGAAATGAATTTCTCTGCCGTTCGACCCTTCACACCAATCAAAGCAGTGGAAACAGTTTTTTTTTTACCTACATCTGACAGATCTAAACATTGGATTTCCATGCGATCGAAGCTTGCAGATTTTATAGAGGATTCCCACGCGTTGTTTCAGTAAAAAATACATCGTAGGTTTTAAAATCAATGTCAATAGTAAGAGAAAGGTTAGAGAAGTTGGACAAATACGTGTATTTATGCAACTTGCTAAATGATGACAGAAATTCACGGCAAAAGGATATGCTGTTCAGCCCTGGTGTACCGTATCGCTTTTACTACAATCGCATGTCACACATTACACTATGTAATAACCACGCAGTTACCTGTGCTCTGTATTGTCAGATTGGATGCAGTTTAATTCCCAGGTGTATTAAAGTGTATATAATCACTCAAAAACATTAGTTGACTCCATATTTCATATTGGTAAATATAATTAAAATCCACGGTGTACCTAACTGCCGTCTACAACCGACCACTACCATCCACAAGCACTAATTACCGTCCACACAATAGTCCAAAAGCAATAAATACCGTCCACAAGCGTCCTCCCATATGAAATAGTTGTTAAATCAGCTAATAGTTAGAAATTAAACATAAGATGGTGCTTAATTGAAAAAAAAAACGTAATGGATGCAGGTCTGTAGACGTTTTCAAACTCGATTGTCTCATTTGATTCGTTGAAAATGACGTAAAACGATGTTTACTATTGTATACTAGTCTTCCAAAATGCAAAAAAAAGGAAAAAACGTTCCTACAGTAATAAACATCTACCTCTACTGTACTGGATCAAAAACCTCACTTCCCATAAAATCATGTTCTTTTTTACCCTTCAGCAAATAATAATATTAAAAAAATTAAAGTACTTATATATTATATACAATATAAAAATACAACACCTTTCTCAACTTGATTGTTTTACCTGTGAAAATAAAACTTTCTGTGTTGCTTGTGAATATTACTTACAAATATTAGTCAGAATCACTGTCATCCTCATCTTCTGAACCACTAGCTAGGACCGCATTTTGCAACTGAACGTATTTTGCAACCGGTTGCAAAATGCGGTCGGTTGCAAAATGCGGCTCTACACCTGCACGACATGAACACCTTTTGGAATCACATTTAGAAGCTTTACACTTGCAACTAATGGAAAGCAAAACACTTGCAGGGGCTGGGTCCTGTGTCATCCACTTTACTTCAAGTTCATTGTTTTTTATTTCCCACCCATGTCCATTGGGATGCGGTGCTTCAATCCACTGCTTGGTAGAAGTTGACCAAGATTTCTTTGTTTTACTACTACTAAGGATTTTTTCCATTGACTTGGGGTCTTTTGGTCTTTTCCATATGTTCTCAGCACCTGTACTCCACCTTCAGCTCTCCTAGACCTTTCCATATTCTTTATACTGACAACTGGATACATATCGGTG